GTGGTGGGGCTTGGCTGTGATATGAGGCCTGTTTAATGCAGAGTGAGTGGCTGTGACGCGCCTGTGTGCACGCACAAAATACACAAACGCCAGCACAGAGGGAGGAAGAGAGCAGATACCGAGCCACGTGTTCATCTTCTCTGAGCTGCAGTGCTCCAGCAGAGGCTGGATCAGGACGTCCAGATCTCCTTTAGGAGCCTCCTTAGTGAACTTCTGCTCGCACGGCGGGCGAGGAGCGAGGAGAGGGGAGGATAAAGGAGATAGAGGAGAGAGAAAAACGGTCAGATAAAAGGAAACAATGAGACAGCAGAGGTAAAACTGCACAGTCAGCACAAACCCCACGCCTGCAGGGCTGATCCCCCCCGAGCGCAGAGGTCCGTCCCCGCAGACAGATATAAATGACTGAATTAAAAGCACGGCAGCGATCCAATAAAGATGAAACGAGATTTTAAAAACAGCTAGAAGTTTGGACCAAAGTTTAACTCCAGGTGTGGATTTTCTTACAACAAATCACTTTTTTTACTCTCATCAGTGACAGAGTGTCAGAAAACCTGATTTTATACCATCTGTGACCTTAGAAAGACTAAGTTTTAACAAGTTTAACACCAGAAAGCTTCTTTATTTGTCCTTTAAAACACTGGGATTTTTATTCAACTCTTTTTAGAGTAAAACAGAAGAAAGTAATGTAACAAAAGCCAAAAAGCAACAGATTTCTGATGTAATGTATGAAGTTTATTGCCTGCAGCACCAGCTCCCGCTACAGCTGTTATACAATAAAATGAACTGTCAATCATCACTTAAAACAGCAAAATACCCCATTAAAGTGCAATAATTAGTGTTTCATTTAAAATGAGGGCTGTTTCAGCACAGTTTGTGCTTTTAGGCATTTTGTATTTGATAAAAAAAAAACATTGGAAGTTATAACTAAAATATATCAGTTCAGACCGAAGTGAAGAACAGAAGGTTTTAGTGAAACAATAAAAAGTTATAAAGAGGAAATCATTTCTAGTTTTATTAAAGGTTGATAAACAGAGTCAGGCTGCAGCTGTTTGGTTTTTACAGGGAAGCAGGAAGTCCTTCATTCAGTTCTGATCCAACCCACAGTCTTTATTCTACAGAAACTGGTTCTGTCCCTCTACAGAGGTCCGGTTCTGGACTCTGGACCACTTCAGAACCTTGATTCTTCTCTCTTGATCTTGTTCTGTTGTAGACCTGCTGCTGTGTCTGGCCTCATGGTTCTGTTGGACTGAGTTTGAACTGAACTGATGTGAGTAACTACAGGCCCATCTCTGTACTGGACAAAGTTCTGGAGTCTTTAATCAGTGAACGATTAAAAGGTTTTTGAACCTCTAACAGTATTTTAGCTGACTCAGTCTGGTTTTAGAGCAATGCACAGTACTACTACAGCAACTATTCAATGATGATATTGGTTTTTTTAGATAAAAACAACATTGTGCAGCCCTATTTCTGGATTTATGAAAAGCCTTTGATACAGCTGATCATGAAATATTGTTGAGAAGACTCTGACATCAGACTCTCAGCAAACAGTCAAGTGGTTTACAAGCTACTTGTCCAACAGGTGGAAGGTCTTTCTTCCTCTTGTCTTCAAACATTCAGGGGTGTTCGCCAAGGCTCTATCCTACGTCCGCTTCTTTTTAGAATCTAACAATTTAGATAACAATGTGCCACATGCTCTATCATTTTTACGCTGATGACACCATCTTGTATTGTGCAGCTAACTCAGTACAAAGTGCTTTTAATGTGGTTCAGTCAAATCTGTGTCGTCTAAAACTTGTTTTGAATTCTCAGAAATCTAAAGTAATGCTGTTTTCAAACACTAAACCAAATCTGTCTCTGTCCATCATCACATTTCATGGCTCTCGGTATAAATACTTAGGTTTTGTAATTAATGAATCTCTGACTTTTGTTCCTCACATTCAACAACTGATAAAAATGCTGAAGATAAAGCTGGGTTTTTATTTTAGAGTCAGAGCTTGTCAATGTTTTGAGGTTAGAAAACGTCTTGTTGCTGCTACATTTTTACCCATCTTAGATTATGGACATGTGATTTGTAGGGGTCACCTCGAGTGAAATTATCGAGTAAACTGTCTGGGACCTCAGTCCTCTGATGGGCCTTCGAAGGGACAAAAACTCTTAGAACTGAATTGGGGCCACCTCAGGTCGCCTTAACCTTTCAAAGAGACATTCTCTTCCTTCTAAATCAGATAATAAACAGAAGAATCTTCTCTTATTTGATTTAGCGTTCTCTTAACTGAAAGTATTACGCATTTTGATAATCAGAGAATGTTTATCAAAGTTACAGGAGAAGAGAGGACAGATCTCTCTTCTCCCTCAGTATGATTTCAGCTATGTATGGATTTTGTGGGGAAAAAACTTAACTAAAATAATCTTTATGGTTTAACGTTTATGAAATTTCTATGTCTTACTTGTCTGAATCATATTTGCAAATGTTTTGAACTTGAAGCAATTCATTTTACTTTCAGTTATGTTTTGAAGAAGTCTTCATCAGATAATAATTAAATGGGTCATGAAATGTTTTGTTCTGAACCACACAGAAGAAATAATCTTGTTTAGTTTCCAGAGGCACGCAAATCTCTGAAACTAACATTTTCCTTGATTTAACTTTTCCAATCTAACCTTCCGGAGGGCAGAACTTAGATTCTCTAAGCTTCTTAGTAACAGTTTCCACCCGGACGGCAGTAAGTGACGGACCGCCGTCAGTCACTCTGACAGCTAGACTCTCTGGGAGTCAGAAGCTGAGCTGTGACAGGTTTTGGCCCCTTCACGCCAACGAGGAAACCTCACAGCCTGGATCAGATCCAACGCCTGGTCGATCCACTTAAGAAAACTTTCAGACTGAAGTTTTATTTTGAGCCTGGGTTCCAGTGGGGGCTTCGCCTTTTTCTACGGCTTGACGTGGACAAAGCGAGTACACCTACACGCCTGGGTCACTCTGGTGGACTGTCCTGGGCGGATTTTCTTAGCAGAAGCCCCGACATACCTGGCAGGTGACAGAACATCATCTCAAGGTAAATACGCTGGCTGTGTGTGAACGTCGCTGTCTGACCGAAGCCGAGCACAAAACGCTTCGCCCTTCTGGTTAAAACCCACATTATTTAAGATAAAGTATAGAAAAATCTAACATCTTACGTTCCTCTTTTTCTTAAAGTCTTCCTTGCCAACTCTAAGATAAATGCCTCAAATTGTCTGGTATTCAACATCAAAGCTGACATTTGTGTTCTATTTAAGTGTTTATTGACAATTTAAGAAGCTAGAAGCTTGTTATTGTCGGTTCTAAACTTTTATAGGAAACTGATTGCCACAATTAAGTGTAGGTTAGTGATTCTGTATGATTTGTAAAATAAAAGATTGCATATTTATGGATCAAATCAACATCCACTGACTGAGAGTCACTTTTTGTGTCCATTCATTTTTGCACTTGGAGAAATGTTTATTCTAAATAAAAGAGATCCCTTGCTAAATAAACTATCCTCATAACTTTATGAGAGTGTAAGACTGAACTCTTACAGATTTATATGCAGCATCTTCTGACTGGTTGCATCTGTTGGACTCTGTGTATAATGGAGCCTTGTGTTTTATCTCTGGTGTCAGACCCTTACTCACCACTGTCATCTGTAGACCAGTGTTGGATGGACTGTCTTATCCACCTGCAGGTTTGTTCATTGGCATATTCTTGTTTATAAAGCAATCTTGGGTTTACTCCGCCCCCCAACTCCTGTTTTATATCATTAATAACAACACAGGAAGTCATTTTCTGCGCTCGGATGAGTTCATTTTATTAACAGTACCTAAGGTTCACACTGATTAAAGCTCCTGCTGCTCCCTCAGCCTGGAATCTACTGCAGAAAGACTTGGAAGAGTTCGTCTCTTTTAATGATTTTAGAGCCATTCTTAATTAGTTTATACTTAAGACATTTGTTTGTAAATGTTTTACCTGATTTTTTTTTCTCTATTTTAGTCCTATCTTACCTTTTATGAGTGTTTCTTCTTTGTTTTATTTTATAATGTAGTTTAATAGCTGTAGTTTTGAATTTTGTAATGCCTGTGTGCTGCTGCTTCCTGGCCAGGTCTCTCTTGAAAAAGAGATTTTTAATCTCAATGAGAGCTACCTGGTTAAATAAAGGTTAAATAAAAAACTGAATTGGTCCAAACTTCAGCTGCCAGGCAGATGGACTCACATCTAGAACCCTTTGGTCCACAGAGGTCATGGTCTATGGTACCTTTTCATGCTATTTTAATTTTAATTGAGTCCAGACTTGTTTGAAACTCATTTCTGTAGAGGAACTTTGACAGGTCTGTAGTGGTCTCAGAGCTTTGACAGGTCTGTGGTGGTCTCAGAGCTTTGACAGGTCTGTGGTGGTCTCAGAGCTTTGACAGGTCTGTGGTGGTCTCAGAGCTTTGACAGGTCTGTGGTGGTCTCAGAGCTTTGACAGGTCTGTGGTGGTCTCAGAGCTTTGACAGGTCTGTGGTGGTCTCAGAGCTGGTCCAGGTGGAAGAATCCCACCCTCCCTCTGACCTGATCCTGTGGAAGCAGCAGGAGTGTACGCTGATTTTCACACACAGCGCTCCTGTTTTGGTTTTGTTTAATAATTAATGACAGTGAAATCTGTTGTGTGGTTTTATTTTTTCCCACTTGAGGTTAGGTTTGAATCCTTTTAGAAGGCGGTGAACCTTCTTACATCCTCTCTGTTAAATCACTGCAGGAAGCTGAACTTTCTGTGAGTTTTTCCAGCAGGTCTAAACATTCTCAAACTGTTTTATCAAATAAATTAACCTTTTTCTTTGTTTTCAAACCTCTCTTTGAGTTTGAGATGACTGAAAGCAGAAGGATGTTTTGTTTTCCAGCCTGGGCTCGACGTGTCATTACTTCGAGAGCGATGACGGCGGCCGAACACACAATCATCTCATTAATCTGTGGTGCGTTACCTCCACTGTGATGTGCAGAGGATCCACGATCTGCCAGATCACCAGAGACAGGAAGTCGATGGCCAGCAGCACTCCAACTGTTGCGTAGAGTTTCCACGGCTCCAAGGGTTGCTGTAGTGGGAGCAAAGACACAAACACGCACACAAACACACACAAACACAACGGTCATCACATTCCAAGGGCATCACGAGCTGCTCCGCAAACAAAGACAAACTACCCGGACCAATAACACGACAGGCGTCCTTGTGATTTCTGGATGACTGCGCACAAATTGCCTTTCTCAATGTGTGTCTTATCCCGGTGTGTGTGTGTGTGTGTGTGTGTGTGTGTGTGTGTGTGTGTGTGTG